AAAAATTAAATAGCATAGAATGAATAGATTTGCTTAAATCAGAATTTGTCGGAAGAAAAAGACAACTTATTGTGAACTGACTGAATACCTGAAATTATTTCTACGTATAGTAACATGAGGAATTCACTATTGACAATGAAACTAAGTTTTCTTAAAAAGAAAAAAAAAAAAGACTGGTAAAGCATGTTAACATGCAGCCAGTTTGAAATCACCAGAATCTTTTCTGTACTCAGCCTATGGCTGGTCTTGAAAGTTTGTCACCAGGAGTAACAATGAAGATGAAACCAATAAAAAAAACTAATAAAAAAGAATTGGAAGAAAGCTCAGGAATCCACTGTAACATTAAGGATTCTCCAAAATCATGAAGGTGATAACTTTGGCCATTAGTTTATTGTCTTCCTCAGATTCTCAACAGAGAAAGAGATCAGAACGTCTTTTGCCTATGTTCTGTCCTCCTCATTTCAGTATCATCATTAAGCCCTGTGGTGGTTATGGAAACAACAGCAGACATCAATGTGCTTTTAAATTGATATATTCTTTCCTTCATAATTAGTTATTTCTGCAGCATGGAAGAATACATCATTCCATACAATGCAATTCCCTCATTATAAATGCTGGAGATAATTAGAAGTTGTAGAGGGGAAATCAACTTTTCAAGTAGCTCACAATCACTGAGGGATGACTCACTTGCCAGGATGTGGAGAACAAGATTTGTTCTATATTGTTTAAAAGCCAAATAAATAGTAAATAAAGGAAAATACTGCATTCACCTGCATTGCCAGAAAATGGATAAAACTATCTTTGGACAGTCAATTAGCAGTTTATCTCCTTAGAATCACAGAACTGGAAAGATCCTTGTAGGTTACCTAATCCAACCCCTCCTTGATGAGTAATCTACAACTCAGAATAAAATTACTGTCCTCTTAGGAAAAGAATATCTAGCCTCTGTTTAAATCCTTCCAACAAGGGAAAGCTTCACAAGGTAGAAAAGAGAAGAAAAGGAGAGCATATCAATCGATCTGTATCTTACTAAGGAGATAGATTTATTTATATACCTTTGTTTGCTCTGCATGTTGGAAAAAATAGTCAACTTTGTTTGCTTAAATAATTGTAGTTACTTTCCTGTTTGTGATCCCAATTTCTTTAAAAAGGTGGTCAAAAATCTCTGAAATCAAATATTAATTCCAGATTCTAATAAGCTGAAAACTGTCCTCACAAACTTAAATTCACTAAAGATTACTCATGGTGATCAGATCTACAGCAAATCACCAATTAACAGATCCCACTTTGAGCAGAAGTACTTCCCAATAGCCTTAAATACATCAGTCTGATCACTGAAAGAAGAGTGGGAAGAATGAATGAATTTGCAAGGCAGCTCATGGTCTTTCTAAATGGAAAGACATCATGACTGAGTAAACTAAAAACAGTAGATAAAAGAGGGTGAAGTAGATAAAGGGGACCTATTGATAAATTTTTATCATTTGGACTTGGATAAGTCTGGGCAGATGACAATCTGATGGGCAAGTGCCATGTTGTCGAATCTTGAAAGGCAATTTGTATACTACCGTAACTAATTGCAGATAAGCCCATCCTAGAATTTTTAACCACAGTGATGGGGGAAACTGGAAACTGTTATGTCATCATTTATAAAACCACAAGATTTTAAGGCTATGATGGGCTTTAAAATATCTGAGCTCAGGTCTGCAGATAAGCGGAACCAAATTTTTGGGGTGCATTTTGGAACCTAAGACTTTTGGCTATATACTTAGAGCATATATGGTAAGCATTATAACTGAACTGTGCCATTCAGCAGGAGAATTTTAAAGTTGGATTTTAGTTGTGAATTGTCATTTGTGCATATTTTTCTTCCAAATTAATTCAGAATAATTTCACAATTCACCTCAATCTGGACTTTGATCATGTACATTTTGTACACAGCAGATCAAAAGCTGATGAGAAACTGTTCCTATCAAATGTTTGTTATAGCCAATGTATGTTTTATATTTCCAATACAGGCATAAGAAACTAAAACCCAATTTAAACATCATATATAGAAGCAACTTTGTTTTACAAACAGTACATATTTATCTGAGGCAGATTGTCAATTTCAAAATCAGAGTTTACTCTAGGGCACCATAATGATCCAAAATAAAATAATGTATAATTATTTATTTTAAAAACAATCTGAACATCCCACAAAAAGAAACTAAGACAAGGAAGAGAATACATGGAAACAGAGTAATAATCCATATCAGCAGTTTCTGCACAATGTGTCTTTTTAGTAAATATTTCCTTCCACTCTCATCTAACAGAATAATACTAAAAAAATACAGTACATGAGAACCAAACTGAATATATCTTGTTCACTAATTTACAAATTTATCTAGAATTTGTATACTGAAAAGGGAAAATAATGCAACTCAGGGACTTGCAGGAGCTAAATATGTCCTACTTCTCATAGTCCCGTTACAAAACTAACACACAACTATTTCATTTTCATACTACACGGATTAATAGCTTTGGACAACATTCAGACATTTTCTTAGAAAATATAATTGCAAAGACTTCATCAAACATACATGTGATAGCAAGTGAGCCAAAAGGACTAATCCAAAAACTGAGACTGCAGTCAGATACTCAGAGTAAGCCCTAAGGAACTGAAAAGACTTAGACTTCTAAGTAAACAAGTATATGTTTACACTGAGAACAGTGGGACAACTACAAGACTGTCAAAATGTGCTATTAAACATATACTTTTGCATTTCAGGGAAGGAAAAAAAAAACACTTTATACCTGATGAAGTTCAACATCAGCACATCTTTTTGGATTTTGTTTAAGACTGAACTGCCAGCTTTCTCCCTTCAGAATCAGTCACTGTTACCTTTAGAGTAAACCATTTAAAAATGGAGGTGGGGAAGATGTGATGTTATGAAGGATGTACTTGAAAAGTGAGGAAATTGGAATTTTACTCCATACTGTGAATCAACAAGAGGCTCTGAATAGCTATAAAACCACCACTTTAATAAAGTTACTTGGGGATTAGTTGGAGAACTTGTCATCCCTTATATGTTAAAGCATTTTAAGCAATGAGATAAAGCGAGAGAAGACTACAATGCTTCCTTTAAATCTGTGATGACTGGGGATTCTTTTAAGCAGTTCTGCACCATACAAGTATGAGTGCTATATGCCAACTTTTCTATAAAATTGAGACTTATGACTTCTGCTTAACTTTTTTCCACTTGAGGTTGAACCTTCCTTATGTAAAAATACTTTGCATTTATAGATCAAATTTCAAGACTCAAAGCAATTCATACTAAACTATCATTTAAGCAATTTTACAATGGTGCTTGTAAGGCACACCAATAATGTGTTGTAGAGGGGAGGCAGGAGTTAAGTCGTATACCAGCATAGGAAAGGCCACCCAGTGAATCTGTGGCAGCCCAAGCTTTGAATTAGAGATCCCCAAAGATTTGAATTAGAGAGCAAGAAGTTGGACTTGATGGACTGAAGTGGTGTCTTCCAATTCTGTTAACTACCATGTTGTATTCTTAGCTAATAGATAGATTACTTGTTTAGTTGTAATTGTTTGCTGCCTACGCTCAAGTCACACTAACTTGTTATATATGTATACAAAGACCGTAAGCTGAAAGATATTAGATGTATTTGTTTGGTCTGCAAACAGTTCTTTTTTCTGTTTATTACCATTCCTACAAACAGCTGTAGTCTAGCCCATCTGCCACATCATCACTACACGAGGAAGTCGGCAAGAAAAGAAGCATTAAGGAAGAGGGTAAAATATTATCAAATCCTGGACATGTCCAATGCATTATGCTGACCTTCAAGTCTCTCTTCTATACCACCAGTCCACAACGGAGGGGCACAGGACATGACTTAAAAATGATTCATACAGGATGCCACTTGGGGAT